GGAACATAGCAACTAGAAAAACAAGAATAAATCAGTGGAATGAAAAGCGTTCGTTGATCCCTGTGGGATTTAGACTGCCGGTTTGAAAGATGAGCTTTTGTTCAAGAGGTTTACGGCTCTCCGTGCTACCTAAGTGTAAGGAAAGACCGCAGATTGCCGTATGTTGCTTAGAATGATTAGGTAAATTAATATGTCTAGCGACTGGTTTCACGTAGCTCCATTTTTTGCCTTTAAAAGCACACATCCCACAATTCCTCTATTCGCTCCGACGAAGGGCTAACGCTCGAAACGTCAGCTTTTATAATCTTAATGGTGGCCAATTTACCATTTCAACTTTGTTTATATACTAAAATGTAAGAGTGGAATTATGACACTGACTGCCCATTAAGACAAAGAACAACCCAACCTCTGGAAAATTGTGATCAGCATGTAATTTCTCCGTACAGCATCACTACTTCATCAAACATTTAAGAAATGAGAATAGAGGAAATGATCACCGCATACTACTACTGCAAGAGACTGAAGGGTTGGATGAGGTCTCTAGAAGATGCCTCTCCTTTTGTGGCATTTAATCTGGTAACCTCCATGATTTACCGACCCCTTTGACGCAAACGTTGAATGAAATAAGTACCACAAAATCACATCTTTTTGAAAGCCTTTTATTACTTTTTCAATACAGAAGGGGCGACATAAAGCTTCAATTCACAGCCGATTAAGGACCTTGTAACGCATGCGCTGAAACTACAGTGACCTAATGCCCCTTCGTACACTTAATGGTGAAAGTCAAATTTGATGCAAAGATAACTAGCAAGCCCTGCGACAAAACGTTCATTCTGCGTTTTAATCAAAATAATTAAATTATTGGGACTTTGAAGCGCAAATACTTTAAGTGTCCATTTGTGTGTTAGCTCCAAAAAAAAAATATTTCCACACAACTAGGGCAAAAGGTACTGTTTTAAACGAAGTCCTGGCTCTAACTCAACAAGCATAGAGTCCTCAAAGTAGAACTTTCATTGGGTAGCCTAGAACCAGTAGTAACCGCTTTCAACATTGAGCTTTTTGGAATTGGGTGAAAGGAACAATATAACTCATGACAGAATATCGTCAAAACTTCTGGGCGAGCTGAAAGTCACTCAAAGCATTTAGCGGCCAGACGACCCTTGAAATTCCATTACTCATCCAAAATCACTTAGGGCCTTTCACCTGAAAAAAATGAAGTTAAATTGTAAGGAGAAATTAGGTCCTACTCCCTCTTAGGAATCAAAGGGTATAATTAATAAGGAGATTACAGAAATATATTTACCTCGTCAACATCTGTAACAGAATCCTAAAAAAAAAAAACCAACAAAAAAAGCATGATGCTGAGATTGAATAATTACACTCCAGCTTTCTACTAGGTTTCCCTAGTAGTTGGCAACCGAACATCTGTACTCCTGGGCCCAGTTGTTGAAGGCCGATTAGCGCTAAACCAGGGTTATATTTGAATCTCGGTTCCTGTATTTCTCTGATCAAAAGCCGTCTTGGGATAATTTGCCCAGTTCTTTTTAGAGCATTCAATCATCGAATTGAAAACAAATGGAATCAAACTGAATTTTCTATTAAAGCTTTCAGATCTGAAATAAAATTTCACTCTAACCCTGGGTTAACTTAACCCAGCTTCGAGCAACCTGGCCCTGGTTAGAGAAAGGCACCTTAAGAAGTGACGTGCCTTAACCAAGAGGAAAACCAATCGATCTGGAAGAAAATAATGCTACTTGAAACTTTTCTCTTCTTTTCTCTCTTTACTTTTTTTTTCATTCGTCAGTCAGTAAAATAATCAGCAGCAAATGTTAATGATACTTTGGCTTCTGCACACGTTTTCAAATGCAAACTTTTTTGAGGATTCCACACGTTTCGAATCTGGCTCTTCATCTGAGTGGAAGGTAGCTTGCGGTTTTTTTCCCCTTCATCAATTTATGAGTTCCTTGTTTATTACATTTTTTATTTACCCTCTCAAACTCCTGAGTGTTGGCTACTTCTTCATCACTTGACGAGTCGGATTCGTCATCCAAATCAACTTCATCCTAATAAGAAAAACATCAGAGTTAAAGCAATTCCGCTTTGAAGCCCTGCACTTTTTTTTACCAACATGGTAAGCTGGACTAGTGTGTGGAATCTGGTGACTAGTAGTCTAGACCGCAATGTTATTAACCTGCGGTGTGCGTTCGGCACATGCGCAGAGACAGGTAAAAAAACATGTGCTCGAGTGCATGAGAGAACCGCCATGTCGAAAGTTGTACTCGCTATGTACTGGTTGTGTTGTTTCACTAAGAGTGGCCGCCCCGTTTTATTCTGTCACTGTTAGAAGTTTCTGATTAAGTATTCGTTGATTAAAGTCGATTCAGTCAGTCTTGTGGTTTACACATAGTGTAATATACTGTTAGGGTTCATCAAGTATGTCCGATATACGTTTAAAACAATCCTACTCAACCAAGTCCACTTCTTTTTTTTTTCCTGGTAAAACCACGACAATTTTGTCACGATAATCGTCAATGCTAAAGCTGCGGATATGGTTTAACTGCAAGGGTAGCCAGAGAGATCGCGGACCGCAGGTAAGAAAAAAGAAAGAATTGTACCCAACCGAAGAAAATGTTGGAAAATAAATGAATAAAAGAGGAGAGAAGTAACAAAACTTTTCGATATATGCGCCCAAAGCGTAATGGTTGGTCACAATGAGGGGAGAGGATGGCACAGTGGTGACAGTGCTCGCCTCTCTCCGCTGTGGCACGAGTTCGAATCCCGGACCTGTCATCATATATGGGTTGAGTTTGTACTTCGGGTTCTCTTCCTTGTTCCTAGGATTGTTCTCCGGGTCCTCCATTTTCCCTCCCTTCACAAAAACCAACATTCTAAATTCCAATTCGATCTAATGAACTGTGGACAAGACGAGCCACCCGTGGAATTTCTACAGCTAAATTCCCATTCCCATTCCCATTCCCATTCCATTATCATTCCATCTCCATTCTCATCCACTATTTTCAATGTTTTTAATCAGTACCTGTTGTTATCAGTTTTAGTATTTAAGCCCCTTATACTCACACTATTCTTGACTTGATAATAGAGAGATTTAGCACCGCGGTTACGTGAAACGGCAAACGTCAGCTTGTCCTTTCACGTTTCGCGTGAAAGAGGGTGAACCCTACTGCGTTACCTTCGCGTGAGCTCACGTCATGGTGTATTTAGAGGCGCCCTTGTACGACTTACAAGAAATAGTTTTGGTGCATTTTTCCAGCAATTAACTTCTACCCCGTGAGAGAAAAAGTGAAGAAAATTCATATGTACACGGCAAACGCGAAGCAGGTTACTTTCACGTAGAAATGGCAAACGTGTATAAAAACGGTGAACGCGAACGCGGTGCTTAGTCTCTCTACTGGCGTTATGCGAAGGTCGAAACGTCGTCGACTAGCCTTTTCAAAATGTATTTATTTGGCTTTAAACATATTTCGCAATTTTTTATTGTGTAATGTTTTTCTAAATCGCTCCTTCTCCATTCCTGTTCCAGAAACCTTAAACGGACAGCTAATCAAAGGATGATTAAAAAAAACAAATTGAAGGCACTCGTCGGCAAATTCAATGTGATGAGTACCTCATGAGAGTCAAGAACACAAAATGTAACCTTTTACCTGCGTGGCTGATGCTATTTGACGAACTTCACCGGGAGATAATCGCTCCGAATATTTGATCAATGTACGCTTATATATCTCATGGAAAGCTGGACCCACTTCTATTCCTTCTTCAACAATCATATTGTACACTGCCTTGATAGCGTCCAAGTCACGGTGGAAGTCTGAAAAGATAGGCACGCAACGGGTATTTGGTAAACCCGCAGAGCGGGGACTTGTATAAAAATACCTCTTCTTGAAGTGATTCCTCAGAGAAAAAGTTATTGAATAAATTTTATAACTTTTCTTAAGTGTTCCCTACCAATGTCTGTTTCGGAAAATAGAATAAAAAAAGATAGGTCACCGGGCCCGTTCAAGAGCTAAGGACCATCGCAACATTTTACCTGGTCCATTGATTGAAAAACAATACTGTGTTCTCGAAATGCGCACGCACTTATTCGCGCTTAGTCGCCTGGGGCCCGTTTCTCGAAGGTCCCGGTAACTTAACGGACCCGCCAGCTGTTATGTTTTCTTTAAAGATTGGGATTTCAAAAGTTTTGAAAATGACGCAATAAAACTATCAGCTTAAGGAAACAAAAAGGACTTGTTTTGGGTGCCAGAACCTGCTTCCCCATCCTTTAAATTTTGATTTTAAAACATGGCTTTGGGCCCGCTAAGTTACCGGGACTTTCGAGAAACTGGCCCCTGACTACCTGAATTTTATGCGCAGTACAGGATGCGCAATGCAATACTGAGGAAACACCTTAACTGAGTTCGATCAAGAAATTACGGACCACGTTTATTCCCTATTATCTCATAGGGAATAACTCATACAAGAAGTGCAAGAAATTTTTAGCGGTAGTTAATCACGAGGGATTTTGGCATTTCAAATGCATTTGAATTTGGACTGTACGGCAGAGTGCAGCCCACACAATTAACCAACCACAACGCCCGTAGTTCCGGAGAGCGAATTTCACAACCTGTCTTTTTTGTTACCCGGAGTGATGTTAAACATCAAATATAACGGCCACGAATTTCAGAGTGGAGAACCATTGAGCCTGGCAACTACTTCCCTACTTCAGAGGCATGTTATGGTTCACTTTCCTCTACAGTATATATTCCTTTAGCATGTAGCTATGAAAGATATAATTTTAAACCGCAATATAAAAAAATTGAAAATATATAAAGCTAAATCTTTCCTCTGACCAGATATGAGGCTCAATACTCCCAACAAAAAACAATACCTTTCATTTTTAGCGACTAACAAACATTTGGCATTAAGTTGAGCCAATTTCTCCTAGTTCAGGAGAAATTTAAATTCTCGTCACTGCTTTGCCTGACACTGTTTCTAATAGTCCATTTTACAGTTGCATGCTTGGTTGCCAAGCCTTTGAACAGGATTGAGGCTAAGGATGACCTTGTTATGATACAGACGTTGCTGCTTTTCAAATGCAAATCACTTTGCTATCATGCTAACTAGTTACTGGTCTATCACAACAAGGTCACTCTCAGCCTCACTCCAAATCAAAGGCTCGGCAACCAAGCATGCAACTGTAAAATGGCCTACTGTAAGGATAATAGTCCTTTTTACAATTGTGGGCTTGGTGGCCAAGCCTTTGAACAGGAGTGAGGCTAAGGGTGACCTTGTTATGATAGAGATGTTGCTGCTTTTCAAATGCAAATTTCTTTGTTATAACGTTAACTAGATACAGGTCTCTATCACAACAGGGTCACCCTTAGCCTCACTCCTGTTCAAAGGCTTGGCCACCAAGCTCACAACTACGAAAAGGACTATTGATGTAATGGTAACTCAGAGAAATCAATCTTCCTATACTCACCATAGGCTCTGATCAGGTCACGGTACAACATTTTAGGATCGACGTTATTTTCCTTCATGAATTTTATGGCGTTCAACACAGCTTGGACCTAACAAATCAGATCATTAAAGCAACAGGACTCAAACTAAACAAAAAATTCAAGCTTCCCCAATATCATAATTTAACCACTTCTTTGATGTATGATGTTTTTTCGTCTTGTCACGAGCGTGGGACATAGAACAAATTCTGAGTCCACATGAGGTATCGAAACTCAGACCTTCGGATTCCGCGCTCCGATGCTCTACCGCTGAACCACAGAGATTCTATGGTGAGCAAGGTCCGGTACGAAGTTCATGTATGACACGCATCCTGCATACTGCTTGGATCGGCAAGCAGTATGCAGGAGTCCAGGGCTAGACATTCACTTTTCAACTTACTAACCAAGAGGCTAGTGACATCTTAGATGTTTTTAGATGTTACGACAATTTCAGTCTGTTTACTAGCCAGACTGGCTAGTGAAAATTGAAAACCACTAGCCAAAACTGAATTTGTACTAGTCTGTGGCTAGTGGGCTACCGTGTCATATATCCTGTCCTTCTTAGGTAGATAGATAGATAGATAGATAGATAGATAGATAGATAGATAGATAGATAGTTTATTAGAATATCGAACATGGCAGTCCGTAGACTGAATTGCGTTACCATTACTTAGAACAAGGAATAAATGAGTTCCAAACACAAATTGAAATTATAATAAAACCATAAATGCGAAAAACTCTCTATATATGACTATGTACAAACTAGTCTAAAAAAAAAATAATAAATAAATTTTATGTACACATACTTGGAATAAAAGTGTTCTTAAAACGATTTGTATGTGTACGGGGCATGGCATAAGCCCTGGACTGTCTTAAACTTGTGATCCGAGCATGACGTGATAGACTCGAAAAGCTTGCTACACAGAGCCACGCGTCTCGTGTGCAAGGTTACTAAGTCGAACCTGGCCAAACATTCGAAATATGACGCATAAGGACAAATGATGGAGAGCGCTCTCTTTTGCACTCGTTCAATGTCGTCACTAAGATACTGTGGGAGCGCGTGATGGAAAACTGGCGCACAGTACTCTAAAACAGATCTTATCACGGTGCAATAAAAATTTATAATGTCGNACTAGCTAACGCCATCAACGCTGTGTTCTTAGAACCCATGAAGCATTACCAACCCCTATACGCTGTCCCTACTGTAGTGGAGGACTCCGATATCCCTTTAATTACGGAATTTGATGTCCTACACGCTCTAACCAATCTAAACCCGAGGAAGGCAGCTGGACCTGACGACATCGGTAACTGGCTTTTGAGGGAATATGCAGTGATTCTCGCACAGCCTATTACATCTATACTGACCGCGAGCTTTAGAGAACAAAGGCTTCCCGCCTCTTGGAAGCTTGCGGACGTGGTGCCTCTCCCTAAGCAAAAACCCGTGGTAGATGCTACTAAGCACCTGCGTCCTATCTCCTTGACGCCCGCTATCTCTAAGGTTGCGGAAGATTTTGTGGTACTCAGATACGTCAGTCCAGCGGTGTTGCAGATCATAGACCCGAACCAATATGGCGGTATTCCAAGATCCTCCACCTTGTACGCTCTGATTTCCATGGTAAATAACTGGTCACAAGCCACTGACGCCACAGGCGCAGCTGTTAGAGTGGTATTTTCCGACTATCGTAAGGCTTTTGATCTTATTGATCACAGTTTGCTGGCCAGAAAGATCGAAGACTTGGACATGCCACGGTGGGTTCGCGTCTGGGTGCTGGATTTTCTGTCAGACAGGAAACAACGTGTCAGGTTGTCATCAGACTGCAGGTCAGAGTGTGGCTCAGTCCCCGCCGGGGACGATCTTGAGGTACGATCTTGAGGTCGACGCGCTCACTTGGAAGTATGTAGACGACACGACTATCGCCCAAACGATACCGCGAGGTTTGACCAGTGATGTACAAAGCGCAGTTTCCGCTGTTGAGGCGTGGTCGATCGAAAATAGGATGGAACTGAACGCGGATAAATGCAAGGAGATGCGCATTGACTTTAAAAGGAACACTCACAATTTTCCACCAATTGTGATTAATGGCAAGAAACTATCAGTATCAAACAGGGTCAGATAATTTATGCCAGCATCATTTAGGCATAATGCTTCTTTAGTCAAAGCATCAGGCATAAATGCCGGCACTATGACTACAATTGTGAACAATTCTCTTGATGTCACAGGTAAACGACAGATAAATTCTGTAGCCTGGCTACTTTCTGTCAACTGCCTTCACAGTTCGCACTTTAGGAATTTGATCCCGTAATATTTTGTGTTCTGACCTTCGAGAAGCCTTTTATTCTTAAGGGAAAGTACGGTCCAGAAAAAGTTTATCTCAATTAGAAGAATTTTTCCGCAGGAGTTCGAAAATAACTGCCATTTTGTCCAGTTTTCTTTGTATTAGCGACAAGAGCGCTTCGAAGTTGCCAGTTTTTACAACTTTCGCGGTAAGAAAAACGCCATCTTGGATAATACGTCAGCTGTGACGTAGCAATAGTCAAACTTTGTTTGGCGCTTTGTCCTCGATGACCTGTTTGACTTTTCGTGAAAACAATTTCTAATACTCCTAATAGTTGAAATGAGGTGAACTGCGTGTGGTTGAATGTCAAAATACATACTAAAATTCAAAGGGAAAAGGTGTAAGCCTCCACAAGCTAACGGAAAGTGAAATATGAGAGAAAAGTTAGCCAGCAAAAATAACCCGAGACGACGGCTTGCCGCACCCTGCAAAGCCTCAGAACTGCCAAAACGAAGACTTCAGCGAGATGTACAAGCATGCAAGTTTTCCTTGTTGACCTTCGCTTCGAACTGAAAGCTATGCTTACCTTTCCCATATTCAACACAAATTTAAATTATTTATTCTATGAATTTTTCACACCATTTTATTGTAAGCGAATAAATTGAAGCTCGAAATGGTGGTACACCGTGTGTGGTAAATTCTCAGTCGCCACACTTGATAAAAACCGATTTTGAACATCATGCGCTTTGCCAAGCAGTGTATAAATATATCTTGTCTTTTTTAAGTCTGTGATGAATCCACAGAGTAAATTTTCTTTACCCCACATGTCACATTCTCCTGCGAAAAAAATCTAAATGACGTGTAATACATTGCTAGCAGATAATCTAGACACAAATTTGCGACAAAACAAATCATCCTTCGTCAGGCAGGCGCCCATATTTCACTATATCATATCGATTGAACACGATCAAAATAGTATGAAAATATTCATTTCTTCCAACCAACTACTTGACGTAATTATGCGTTGCTTATGCTTTCAAAAGAAGTCGAAAGTTTCATTTTCGCTTCAGTTATATTGAGGTAATTTCTAATGTAAACACTGTATGACAGAGGCGACTTTCTGACGCGCGTCGAAAATAACGAAGCTCTACTTCTCACGAGTCGCGACATTTCAAACAGTTTAGAATGAAAAATACTGCGTTGAAGCCAATTCTAAGCAATAAAGACAAAAAAACACCTTTACAAATTAAAGTTAAATGCTGAAACAACCAAATTTAATTCGTAAAATTAACTTCTGCCTTTTGTCTGCGTTAATTTTGGCAACTCAGTGTTTCTAATCAATTTTGTCAGTGTTTATACCTACGAAGAATGATCTTCAAGTCTACCATTTCTAAATTGTTGCAGGCCAATTGGGGCTGTTCTTAGTTCCAAATGGCTCGTGTTTCGTTATATACCGAAGCTGGGTTCCTGTAACTGCAAAAATAGTTCGTCTCATTCCGAGGTAGCAATGCAAAATCAATTTGGTTATATCAACTAAGTTGAAATTTTAAACTGGCCACCGTAACGAATAAAAAAGCTGACGTTTCGAGCGTTAGCCCTTCGTCAGAGCGAATGGAGGAATTGTGGGTTGTATGTGGGTTTATATGCAGAAAGCGGAGCTACGCCATTGGTGAGAACATGGCGACGAAAAAAACACGAATAAATTAGTGGAATGAAAAGCGTTCGTTGATACTTGTGGGATTAAGAGTGCCGGTTTGAAAGATAAACTTTTGTTCAAGAGTTTTGCGGCTTTCCGTGTTGCCTTAATGAGAGGAAAGACCGCAGATTGCCATATGTTGTTTGGAATGATTAGGTAAATTAAAGTGTCTAGCGACTGGTTTTGATGCGTCCTTGTCATTCCTTTCTATGTCGCGAAGGTGTTCTCGGAATCGGTCACCTAGTCGTCTTCCTGTTTCGCCGATGTATAACTTTTTGCAATAAGTGCGAGTTATGTAATTGATTACGTTGGCGGAGGTGCACGTGAAGGGATCGGTAATCTTAATGGATCGCTTGGGTCCCGATATTAACGGGTCGACGTTTCTTCTTGAAATTCATTTTCCTGACTTTCTCTCTCTTTCACCCCAACAGAGGTACCTCCTTCCACTGAAGACGAGTCATGTTTCGTTTGAAACATAAATGGATGTATTACATCCTCTCAGATAGAATAAAATCTAAGCCGAAAATTTAATAAGTGTCGCCCCCATCGCCGCTGTTTTCCTTGTTTACATCACTTCAGCAAGGACATAATTTAGCATGCTTGACTATTGCTACGTCATAACAAAGATGGCGGATTTCAATCTGAAAGTGCCGATTTTTGGAACGTAATTGTTCGCAGCTAAAACGCTTTTAGCTCAAATGAATAGCCAGTTAGGACAATGCAAGCAAAGAACTTTAGATATAAGTAAACCTTTTGTAGACCGTACTTTCCCTTAACGAAGTTTAATCTGTAGGTGGAGAGAATAGAGAGGGNGGGTTTGGCAGGAGGTTGAAAGGCTCTTCAATGCTATTATTTTGAAATGTCAAATTGAACAAGATGAACAATTTTGGGCATAATTTTCGGCATAATCCCATGTTTTCAGGCGTGACACTCAAAGCATAATGCCCAAATGTTCGAGGCCCATTTTGAGCCAATTCCAACCCAAACGTCTCTATAAATCGTGAGCGCTTAGGCATGCGCTGTGTTTACCTCTCCTTTCCAGCCCGCGTTCCTTGCAGGAGTTGAAAGTGTGAATGAATCCAGGTTCACGTCATTTTCCTACAAAATGTAAAGAGTACATCATAGGGTTTGAGAAACCAGGACAGCGATACCAAGGAAAGAATTGATTAAGAGCTAGGGTTCCATTACTATTCTGAGGTTCGCGAGGAGCTCTGTATGGTTTAACGTCTCTCGAGGCTCAAAATCCTCCCATCAGCATAACGTGGAAAAGTAACGTTGTGCTTAAAATAGAAACGAGAACATCTACCATCCCGCTTGTTCTCAGACTACGCATGAATTCAAGAGTGCATTTTGCAGAGCACGGCTGGGAGATTATAAAAAATCTAGAAGCACTTGAAAGGCTACAGTTTTGGTGGTTAAAACGTTTGTTTTCCCTATTTCTTGTTGCCGAGTTGAGATCTTTCCTTTCCAGTCCCTTTTCATCTCCCTTCAACTGGGAAGAAAAAGGCCCAGTCCTCCTCCTCGTGGCCAACAAACTCGACCCAGGGCGTAGCCAAAAGCTAAGTGGTCGAGATTGATTGATCATTTCAGAGAACTATGAAGGAAAACGAAATACTCACCAGCATGAGTTTCAAAGCAAGATCGTACTTTTCGGCATGCAAACAAGCGAACACCAGCTTCTTGATTGTTTCTTGGGCATCATCGCGGTCTCTAACTACTCTCGCAAAAAAGTGACGACAGTCTTCCAAAACTGAATAAATCAACATTTAATTTTAATTGATAAAGAAAAATTAAAAAAAAAGTAAATACAAAATCAATATTAAAATAATAATAATAATAATAATGACGATCATAGGTTAAAGGGTTCATTTTGATTGCTCCAGTCACCGGGAATCTTATCAGGTTTACATATTTTGAACAATTAGGATTTTAGTATATTTTTATCATTTAGATTTCAGTAGTTATCACGAAGTTGGCTATGACTCGTGCCGCCCAACTTCCGTGCTTAGGATCTAGGCATCTAGAAGTTTTATACTGCCTTAATAATAATAATAATGATAGAATTCTATAAAAATCCTATGAAAACTACCATCGTCACTGTTATTCTTCCTTAGCAGCGTTGCCGATTTCCTATGAGGCAAACAAGTCATAATCCTCTTTTTCAAACTTCTTGTCGATCTGAAGGAACGATTAGGATCCTTACACGAGGCCATTTCTGACTGCAATACCCTAAGCGGTGGCCAGGTTACGCAGTTACTTTTTTCAAAATGGCAGCATCACCAGACGAAATGTTTGCAAAATGGAAGAAAATTTTCAAATCATGATCAGGTTGTTCCTTAGACCCTCAGAACGCGATTAAAATAGTGAACCTCTGTTCTTTATTTTGTGATGGTGGAAATCAATGTTAAATAGTTTCTGGGGGCGTAATTCTTCTTTTAGATATTGAGAAATGACATACCACTTTCAAAGTGTTCAGTTTGGCCCAATTTGACCATAGTGTTTAACAGCACTATGAGACTGCTCTTTCCAAGAAAAGGACCATCTTCCTTGGCGCGTCTGAAGATTTCTAACGCAGACTTAATATCACCCCTGCGGGATGAAATGTTTAAACACAATAGTGATCAGTGCAAACAATTTCTATATGCTACTGAGATTTATCATCTTTTTTCAATACTCTACAGAACTCCCAATTCAACTGCTGGAATCACGAAATAGTCGCTAAGATATGAACAGTTTTTCTTTTAAGTCAGTAGCAAAATGAGGTAAGTCTGACACAAACAAAAGAGGCGAGCAGTATTCATAGAAGCAATTTCAACTGAGAGTCGAAAGTCCGGGAAGGCTTTGCTTCTGCTTTGATACACTCTGTGAATGGTTCAAAACACTGGCGTCACTTTATCAACCAATCATATTCAAAGCTAGAACCAACCATGACTTGATCACTCGCATTTCTCCCGCGCTTTGAGGTCTCATTGGCTCTTTGCGAAATTTTCCAAAGTTTTGATTGGTCGTTATGATATCATCCTTTCTTCTGATTGGCTGTTGAGATATATTCCTTTCTTCTGATTGGCTGTTGAGATACTTTCCTTTCTACTGATTGGGCGATGCGATAATTTAGGTTTGGTTTTATGACTCCGAATCGAAATGCGCCCTGATACTAACAGAGTTAACTCCCAAGCTATAGCACGAGCCGTGATTGGACATGAGTATTATCCACTCTCCGAATCAAATAACGACAAACGAACAAACAGTGTAAGCACACAATTCCGATATAAGCTTTAGGATCAACAAAAAGTTCTCATTTATTATTTTACCTGCAGATCCCTTCAAGCATGTACAATCTGCTGATAAATGAATGCACATGGAAGGAAACAAACAAACAAACAAACAAGCAGAAAAAATACAAAAAGAGCAAACATCAACACACTCACCTCCTGCAAAATGAATGTACAATCGGGGAGAAGGTTCTTTGAACTGTTTTTAATCCCAGTTCGTCCATTTCCGCCAGCACCTTCATCTGAGAAACCACATCATCTTGGAAGAATTAAAACAAAAACCTTAGGATCTGATTCAGTCATAAGGGGGTAGGCTTCTAGAGAAAAAGGGGCGTTGTGTCAGTGGGATGGATGAGGGGGGGAGGGTATTGCAAGATACCGTTAATTTGGTTTTATCAACCGAGTTGATAATGTAAATCGGCCACCGTCAGTGACAATTTTGGAAAAGAGACTACTTCAGAGTTACGGAGATAGATTGATTAAATTGGATTCTAAAAGTGACTGACGTTTCGTAAATCTACGGTGGTAAGTCGCTCTCAATTTGAGGGTTTGGCACAAGCGAGTCTGGGAATTGTGCGCAACCCCCATAGTTCTCCAGAAATGAAACTTTTTTTCCACAACATAGAAGATCACATGTACAAAGTAACTTACCATGACGTCCGTAACAAAAGATGAGTTCATTGTACACAAATGCTGGCATCCCCCTTTCGTCGTGAATTTCCTTCAGCATTTCAAAGTACTCAAGCGTTTCTGAATGAGCAGACGTATACCGTAAATGAAATAATGAACAAATGCCCAATTTTTCTCATTAAATGATATCTGTTCAAGTAGATATTTCATGACGAAATAAGCTTTGATAGGCACAACCACAGAGATGACTCGTTACCCTGACATACCAGCTTTCAAACCCAACCGATGATCTATTTATTTTATTCATTCATTCATTCATTTGCGATATTTGGAAAGGCAGGTTCAGTCCATGGGCTAGTACAAACAATAATAAGGCCAGATCACGAAACCGGGAGCTATGTTCCCTACTCTGCGAGAAATGCATGGGTTCTTTGACGTCTCCTGCTAATCAATGAGGAGAAAATACAAGAAACAGGGCCTGCGATTTACCGTCCTTATCCGAGAAGACTAGAATGTCTAACCATTTACGGATGTCATAGCATGGTCAAAACGTTGTCATCAGTTATTTTAAGACCCTGAGTGTTGGTCCTGTCTGGGGTTTGAAGCCTCGACCTCACGAACAAAGAAACATGTACCAAAAACAATTTGAATGCGAATGCAGATGCGGGGCCAAACAAACAATAACCACGGCAAAAAAATTGTCAGCGACCATCATAAAAGCCACTATGGTATTATACCTTACCCGTTTTTCGTTACATTCTAAGAACTGCAAAACTGTCCTGTTTAATTTGTATACCATCAAAAGAAATTGCTGGTTTTTGCAGAGTCAGGAAAACCGGCTAGCTAAAGGCTTGATAGAGCTTTAGGCTTAAAAAGTTACTACCTGCTGGGGACGTTTAGGATATAGGAACCAGCGCTAAACTCAGACCCACTGCCCCTCTGAAATTCCCGCTCTTAAAAGAGCAAGCGACTATCACTTTCACAAATGTTAAATGTGAGATGTAAAAGTCTTACTTTTCACATCTCCGCGTTGTGAATATGCTCTCATAAATTCATTCATAACAATGAATGTAGGAAATCCTTCGCCATGAATGCTGTCGGAGACAAAAAAAAAAGAAAAAAAAACAACAGAACAGAATAAGGTAAAGTCTGTTTATGACCCAAGTGGCCCATCAGGCCGGCACTTAACTCCGGTTTCTGTAGCAAGAAGCGACTAGGGGTATTTCTACTTCCCCCCCTAGATAGGATGCTTGTCCATGGCAGGGTTACCCCCCCAGCATTAAGTTCGTCGGTACCTATTTGAACACCCGTGAGAGTAAAGTGTAGGCACTGTAAGGGTAGTGTCTTGCCTAAGTGTCACACGCGCACTAACCATGAGGCCACTGTGTCTTCCGATATCCTAGGATGAGTGTGAACTTACTCAAAAGTATAACAAAAATTGTCAAACGTGATTGGTTACCAACAACTCAATTTGAGCCCTCACGGGACACTGCAAACAGCGGTCGGACGTCTGCACAAGTGCGAACGCCTAGAAGGCGTACTTCCAAGCTATCAGAACCAATTTTTCTTGCTAGATTTACAAACAAACACAAAGACTAAAAAGTCACTGTGTTTGAAGCGTCCAACCTTTTGGTAAAGCTCAGAAGAGAATGGTAACTCAAAACATACCCGTACTGGAATAAACTTTGTGTCCATAAAATCTCGAGCTTTTCTTTTCCTTCTAATTGTTTCCTTTTACAAATTTCTACGAACGTTTCAATTTCCTTAGCTTGTTTTGCGGAACAGCGGTTTTCTTATGTTCTCCTTGGAAAATTTGCTCGAGAAATGGGCACGCGCATGCCTGCCCGATGTTCGACCGCGGTGTGCTATAAACCTTGTTGAGAGGAAGGCAAAAGTCTTCTTTTTTTTTTACGAATCAGAGCAAACCGAATATACTACTGGATTACTTTTGGCACTAAATCATAGGTTACCCGTAAAAATCGTACTATACACTTCAGTTTACATACAATTTAATATCTTCTGCTTGCTCCACTTCACCAGATTTCAGGAACGCAATGTAAACAACACCTCTGGCAAACTTGGTCATCCTACAGGTAGAGAGAAGAGAACAGAAAAAAAGAGAGAGAAAAAAGAAAGCCCTTACTGGATTTTATACTATACGAAAGGCTGAATTATATTCGAATTCTGATCGGTTCTAAGTGATAATCTAATGGAAGTAAGACGCATAGATAACGTTATTAACAACATTTTGCTTTTTTACCATGTAAAAATATATAGATTCCAAGTTGCCGTGGGTCTGCATAGTTACTAGGGAGCTTAAGAAACAACGACTGCGTGGCCGTAGACAACGTCGGTTAGAAGATGACCTTGTACTCGAGACTAAACTGGGCACTGATTCCAGTGTCTGAACACAGCACCATTTTGTGCCGGTGCCTGGCACAAATGCTCGTGCACCAAGCGTGAACGCAGCCTAATTTAGGTCAGAAATGAGCCTTAAATAATCAAGGGGATATTTTTTATTTCGTACCAAATGCACGAGGCGCACATTACATCAGCTTCTAGCAGACGTTTCGTAAAATGGATACCGAGATCTTCAGAGAGAGAAATGGCTAACGGCGCCATATTTGAATTACATAAACTCACGTGATCCCTTTTAAAGAGATTTCACTGTACAGTTCCTTGACCTTTTGTATCCCTTTCTGCAAAAGATGAAATAGAAAAACAAGGTCACCTTATAAAAAAATGAAACAGTCGTACAAAAGCAGTGTTTTAAATAACAAAATGGGCTCTTACAAGATAATTTGTCAGAGCGACGAACGGCTAACCCTTGAAATATCAGCCTTGGATACTCTCTACGGTAGTGTTAAAAGTACATGAACATATTTCAAACTAACTGAGATGGCCAGTAAGAAGTCGCGAGTTTTCTTACTCCCCACTTTTGTTTCCTTTTCTAGATTTGTGAGAAATTTTCAACTTTTTTGCATATTTTCTCTTATATTTCCCCTTGAAATTTTGCGCGGGAAATTGGCGCGGGCTGGCCTTAATTGATCGCCTTGCACATGCTCAGTGTTTCACGACATATCTGTTGCTCATAACCCTACCATAAGCAGCAGTCAGAGAATCAGATGTGCTCAAGAGGATCAGGTAGGTAGATAGGTAGATAGATAGATAGATAGATAGACAGACAGACAGATAGACAGACAGACAGATAGACAGACGGACAGACAGACAGATAGATAGACAGACAGATAGATAGACAGACAGACAGACAGATAGACAGACAGACAGATAGACAGACAGACAGATAGATAGACAGACAGACAGACAGA